CTGCTCCTGTTCCTGCTCCTGCTCCTACTCCTACTACTACTCCTCCTACTACTACTCCTCCTACCACTACCAGTACTACTGCTGCTGCTGCTACTGCTACTGCCACTACTACTACTACTACTACTACTACAACTGACAATTGCTGCTACTACTACTGCTACTACTGCTACTACTACTACTACTACTGCTACTACTACTACTACTACTACTACTATACGACTAGTATTATCATCATTATTTTTTTTATTTTTCGTTATTATTAGTATTTCTACGTCGACGACGACTACTTCTACTCCTGCTGCTGCTGCTGCTGCGGCTGCTGCTACTACTACTACTACTACTACTCCTCCTACTGCGACGACGACGACGACGACTACTACTACTACTACTATCACTACTACTGCTGCTACTACTACTACGACGACGACGACGACTACTACTACTACTACCACCACTACCACTACCACTATCTGACTCTGCGACTGCTATTGGTGTTGCTATTGCTGTGGGAGGCGCAGCTGTCATGTACAGTCTGGATGTGAAAAGGGTCATTCTCACCAACCTGCTCGTGGCAGGTTATGGCATTCAAAATTCAAAATAACAGCTGCTCGCAGACATAGTGGAGCTGCAACTCGCACTCAGAGAATGGCAGCAACAACCACAGTTGTTGCCATCACCATCTTATCATCGCTATCGTCATTGTCGTCATTATCCTATCACCACCATCATCGCCATCATCAAGCTTGTTGTAACTTTGTAGCAATGACCCACAAACCGAGATCCTTGAACCCCAAAGCCGTAGAGCTCTAAAGGCCAAGCTCCGGACCCAAACACCCCGGAAAACCCCAAACTCAAAAGGCCCTAAAGCTCTAAGGCCCTGATACAGGGCTCCTTGCTCTAAATATACTATAAGTTACCCCAAAACCCTACGTCAACTTCGAGGGCCCTTATATTAGTTTACTAGTAGTCTCAGGCACTGGCCGATGACCTACGAGCCTGGCAATGCCAAAGCCTGGTCTCCGGGGATCAACGGCGATGCCAACGGCGACGGTCAGGCCTGGTCGTCAGGATGTGGGGTTTGAGGGTGTTATTGATTTAGTTTGGATATAGTTTTGGGGTTTAGGTGATTGAATTTGGATATAGTTTTGGGGTTTAGGGGATTTAAAGGACTTAGGGCTTTGTCGGTTTTCAGATTCAGGGATGCCCAGTTTGTAGCGAGTCTTGGCCTCTTGTCTTTGTTAGGTAAACTTTAGAGCAAGGGGGAGTTTCCGAAAGTTAGGGTACCTTATTTTGGGGTCCTCATAATAAGGATCCTACTATTTAGGGTACTATGTTAGGGTCACCTATTTTCGGAAACCCCCATATGGGAGTACCGTCTACGTGGACTTGGGACCCTGACCCTGATTCCAAAAACAACACGCACTTACTGCCGACCTACGGCCAGCCCCTGATCCTTACAGAAACGGCTGCGGGGCTCGGGCACCTTGGCCATGCTGGGCGGCTGCCGAAAACACCCTGTGGGGTCAAGATTTCTTATGTGGGCTTAGGGGTTTCGGGCTTCCGGTCAAGTAAGAGGGTGTTTAAGAATCCCTTTCGTCTTGTGGTTTGCTGGGTTCTCGGGTTTTGAACAGGCATCAGGGACCAGGGATCATTTTCCTTTGCCTAGGGTTTTACGGTTCAGGGTCGAGCGGGAGGCAGGGTCCAGAGTGTGCTCCGCGAGCGTGCGACTCTGATGTAGGGGCCTTAACAACTATCATAAATATCTGTACTATTTGGGGTTCCTTATTCTGACTATAGTAGAATATACCACAATATTCTAACTATAGTATAATAGACCACAATATTCCAAATATAGTATAATATACCACAATACCCCTTTCTAATGATGAAGGCCCCTACATTACCATCACGCAGCCCGTGGAGAGGAGCTCTGCATCTCGAGTAGCATCGAAAAGCTCGACAAATGAGACACCTCCTGGGCTCAAAACTTCCGGAGACACCAAGGTTTAGGGCTTCGGGTTTAGGGTTCAAGATGTTGAAAGACTTGTTCTAATTGTGGATCTTTTCGTTTGATGAGTCCTTCGGGCCGTCGGGAGGGACGTCCCGCTCCCAAACTGAGTTCCAAAGACCTCGCAAACAGAAGCGAAACTCCCAAATCCCTGTAAAAGGCCCTGCGGCCGGGAATCGGAAACGGTGAACCTCAGAGAGTCACGAGTTTAGACATGGACCCACAAGCCACAACCCCAACGCTCATTACGTTAAAGCCGCTTTAAAGCCTAAACCCGTACCTTCTGAAGGCGATCGACAGCGAGACGGCATTGGGGCCCCAGGAATCCTCGCGTCCTAGGGTTTAGGGCCGTTAGGGTTTAGGGTTGAAGGCAATGCAGGGGCTATAGGGTTTTAGGGCTGCAAACCGGACATATCTGTTTTGAAGTTCAGACCCACCCAAGCTCGGGTTAAGTCGATCCGGGCGCATGCTCGCAAGCTTGATGCCATGTAGCGATTGAAATCTTCTCAGATTCTTGTGCCAGGTTTTGCTGGTAGGAGGTTCGTGCAAAGAGATGCGGCGCCTCCCTGGTTGCAAGCGCAGGGCTGGCATGGGCTACTATCGGCTAAAAGTTGATGCGTCCTTCTGTTGTTGCAGCGGTCCTGTTCCACAGGCAGTGGTGGTCCTGGCACAGGTGGTGGCAGTGCCGATCACGGTCGTCATCGTCGCTTTTGCGATATTTTACTACGTGGTCATTTTGTTGAGACGGCTTTTTCTTAACATTGAAGTTGTTTGGTATTGCTGCTGCTTTTGCAACATATACCGTTGCCGCTGGTGTTTGTTGTTGTTGCCGTAGTATCTGTGCTGGTAGTGATGGTGGTGGTGGTGTTGGTGTTGTTGTTGGTGTTGTTGTTGGTGCTGTTGGTAGCGGTTGTGCTAGTGGCGGTGGTGCGCTGCTACTGCTGCTACTGCTCCTGCTCCTGCTGCTGCTGCTGCTGCTTTTGCCATTGCTGCTACTGTTCGATTCTTCTCTTCTTGCTCCTGCTCGTGGTTTTGGTATCAGAGGTGATGGTGGTGGGTGTTTACCCAGCCCTGATTTCTAAAGCTAGAAGCTTGAAGCCCGAATCTGTGAGGACGGTGCGTCTACTTCCAGGCGGATAGCCAACCTTCGGGCGGCTTAGCTGGAGTTGGATATTCATCCCGCAGTCACCCGAAGCCTGAACCCTACTCGGACTCGAGGCAAGGACGTTCAAGAAAGTGCAGGGGTACCAAATGCCTCTGGACGATGGTAGGGACTGCGAGAGGCTTCAAAGATTCTTCGGCATGGGGCAAAAGCATCTACCGTTGCAGGTTACAAAGGGTTCCTGCATGCGTCCCAGGCAGATCTCGACGCCATGAAAGGAGACATGAAAAGCATCCAGGCTGGTTGGGTGCTGTCTCGCCTGTCTGCACAGACTTGGAGCTGTTCTTCCCGTCCTGTACATTCTGTATGTTTTGTTGGGGGCGAAGTGTTCGTTTCAACCGAAGCCGTCTGTCGATGAGCCACGGCTCCGTGGCCGTGGCCCAGAATGTATGCCGCCCCATCAGGAGAGCATGTCGGTGCTGATGAGCCTGCTGAACATCCCTGTCCAACTCCAGGCAGCACCACATTAATGACATCGCCTGGATCAGCGGACATTTCTGTTCTCATGGCGCCCATTCTTTCATAGCTTTTGCCTTTTCTGCTCTCCAGGACGGTGATCAGAGTCCCAAGTTCGGCGAAGGCTCCCGAAGACCGTCCATGTCAATGAAGTGTTGGGGTGATATTCAGACATAGCAAGGGACTCATGGTTCACGGCTTACATACAGGCACGCCTGGAGATGAGGATTGGTACATTCTCATGGCTGGACATGCATGCACGGTTATGCACATCAGTGAAGGTGCATTCCAGTCTCACCCTCTCCTGCTCGCCCTCCCCTCCCTGCCTTTTACGTTCTGAGGCCTTCTTTTTGCGTCTGTTCTAATATCTGTCTCTGTTTTTCTTGTCTTATGTTCCTTTCTTCTCTCTCTGTATGATCTTTCCGAGCTTTGCTGAACACGTTTTGGCACGTGCAGCAAGCCCAGAGCATGCTGTATTACTTCTAGGTTCCTCTGTCTCTGCGGCCTCTGTACACCTCCTAGGTCCTAGGTTGCCTTGCCATCAGGTCTACGGCAAGCCGGCCTGTCCGAGTCGATCAGCCTTCCAGTGTGGCAGCCCGAGCTCTGGGTCCAGACTCAGAGGCTCCCATGCCCTTGAACTGTCCCTGAAGTGTCGGATCCCTTATTGTGCTTTCTTGTCTCTCCCTGTTCTACCTGCGTCTCTTGCGTGTGGCTTCGGGTCACAGCTGCGTTTTGTCGCCATTTTCTTGCTCGTTCGTTTCACGTGTCGGAAGCAGTCATCTGCAGGAAGTGCATATTCTCTGCGCCAACAGACCGGGTTTTGGACGGGTCGAAACAAGCAATGCCCACATCGAGGTTAGCCAGCTATGGCATGTTTTCAGGCGTAAACTCCGAGCCAACTGTTTTCGCTTCTGGGCAAGCTTTCGCATCTGTTTTCTGGATCAGTCCTCTCACTCCGTTTGATCCCGTCGTTGCTGGTCTCCTTGTCTTCCGCCCATTCCATCCACGATTGGTATGTGTCCCTGATCCTTCGAGATGAGGCGACGATCAATGAACCAGAGTAGTTATGTTGAGAGTATGATGATGGTATCGGCGATGATCATGCTCCTGGCGATGTTGGTTTAACTGTGGCGATGATCACGGCTTCTGTCATGGAAGGATTACCATTGCACTGGAACCCTAAACCCAAAGTCCCAAGCTTTACTCCCTAGCTCCTTGTTCCTCATTCAGTATAAGGAAGCCGCAGTCTAAATGTCTAACTCATATCTCCAGTTGATTTTGGCTCATAGCCCCAGTTGATTCTGATGTTCCTATGACTACTATGATTCCTCGGATTCCCATGATTACTATGATTCAATCATTACTTCCAAGACTTCTCGTCTCATTCAACTCGAGGGTTCGAGGCGAGTGAGTTTGCTCCGAGGCCTACCGCGTCCTTGCCGGGCTCTGTTGCGCTTCGTTAGGGGAATCTCAGGCCTCAGTGGTCTGACTGCGTCAGTCGATGATCATGAACCCGGTTTGGGTTTAGGGTTTAGGGTTTTGTAGTTCTGGTGATTCTTGAAGCTTAAGCCGAAAGCTATGAGCACGCTCACAATCAAGACTGCAAATAGTAGGAAGTCTCACACCGGGCCGAGAGCCCGCAGTGCTGTCGTTGCAGTTCTGACTAGATCGTCATTGCCATGAGCAGTAAGATTTCTGGCACCATGTCTGTGCTTATTCGCACTAGTGCGCTCTATTATTGACAGAGTTTCTCTCAGCTTGTTCGTGTTGTTCATCTCCGCTGCTACGAATTACTGTTGGTATTTCAGTTTTTGCCGTCATGGTCGTTGTCGATGCTTCTGCTGTTGGTCCTCGGTTCCAAGAATTTTGCAGTATTAAATGAAACATTTATTGGCTTTGTGATCACCAGCGCTCCTGTTAGTGTTCATTGTTGATTACTTCTCTGTTGATGCTACTGGGATACTGGGTTCCACACAAAGCAGCTGTACAAAATGACGGCTTCCAAGATGGTTTGTACCCTGCAGTTTGCAACTACTGCTGCTGGCTACTAGTTACTAGTACTAGTAGTAGTAGTAG